AGCCAGGACGTCTCTAATGAAAAGCCAGTGCGGCCAACGCGTCCAAGGAAGCGGCAGCGGCCCACTCGCAGAAAAGCGATGAGCGGAGACGGCCAGAGATTTTCAATTTCAGTCTTTCATGATGATTATTTTCCATTTTCAGGTTGGGTCGGATTCTGCTCCCTTCGTACATTTTCGGGCCGGGCCGCCTCATACGGGCAGTCGAGTGCCCGCGCAAGCGCAATGTATGCCAACGCACTAGACCTTGACGAGGACCAACAACGAGGAGCGAGAAGAGAAGGAGGCGGCTACAGTGCATTCCACTCCCATTAGCGAGGCAATTAATCAACAACATAATGAAATGCATGGAGCCCCCGCGACTTATGACGTGCGACAGTCTGGCAGGGGCGAGCGTAGAGGACGAGGAAGGTGGCAGCTGGGCCTGACCTCACCTCAGCTGAATCATTTAGGCGTTATGGACCCCTGTTTGTTCTGCGGCGGCGGCGGCTTTGCACGGCTCCCTGTGCCACGCCTTGCCACGAGTCGAGGGCCATAGTCAGACAAGAGGCAATTAGATATCTCGATCTGATTTCGAAGGCTAAGTTGCGATGATGCCTCAGGTTATTCTCGACCAGAGCGTAAAGTTATATTCCGCTCTTTCAGAAAGGGGCCCATTGAAAGGTGACAATTCGTTTTAGGACGACAAGGTTCTACTGTGACACAACCACTAGGAGGGAGCTTTTCTTATGAGAGCTCTTCATAACTACCACCACCTCACCTACCGCCGCACCACATGGGCCAGCTGGGTCACGCATATCCTTTTCGGCAGCAGGTAGCCAAGCAACCACCGCAGCAAAATCTCCGAAAATCTCGCTCCTGGTTTTGTTTTAGTATAGTAATATTTTTCTACTTCACAAGAGCCCCCGTGTAAATTCTTCTTTGAGTATGGAATTTTGAACAGTGATGGATGAACAGATGCATAATACTGCTTTACTGTTAGAAAAGGTTCTGGGATTTCATGGAGGATCACTCGTGAAAGATATTGCCAGAGTCCTTTAGGAAATCAGAAAGGACTTCTTAGATTTCACGTGACGAGTTTAGCTCCGTAACATTTAGAATTTAGACAACTAAAAACTCGTCTCAACAGCTGTTTTACGACATGAAAACTAAGAACGAAGTTTACTGGGAATTTCTTGTAGTAGTGTTTAAGAGTGAATCTTCGGGAAATCACAAGAAATGTTAACAGTGCTCGTAAGATATCGCGAACCCTGTTATGAGAGGCGTGGTGAGGCGTCCATGAACCTATGTTGGCGCCAAATGTGTCACCTGCTAAAACATTTCACGTTTCACAACGGCATACTTTTGTTGCCATTGCATCGCTAACCGGTGATGATGACCTTATTGTAGTATAAACGTATGCCATCAATAGGGGTGGGTTGGTGGTTGAGAAAGGTCGGGGAGGGGGGGGGGGGGGGGGGGGGGGGTCAAGGTGGCAGGCGAGGTCGCCGAGAGGAGGTGCCAGCCGGCTAGGCCCACCCGCCCGGATCCCTATTCCAATTACATCACAATCCATCAAGCAACTCATCTCAGGCTCGTGGCAGACGAGGTCCTCCGGGTTGCGGCGTGGCGGGTCGCACCAGAGGCGAGACAGCAGATAGAGCAGCTGTCACTCAGGCGTGTTTGCATTAATTTTCGATAACGAGCAGGATAATAACTTTGTGTGTGTGTGTGTGTGTGCGCGCGTGTGTGTGTGTGTGTGAGAGAGAGAGAGCGCGCGCTTGTGTGAGGGTGCCGTTGTATGAGAGTGCGTTCGTACTTAGCTAGCTGCCTTGGTCGACGAGGACATCAAGTAAGTTGGACTGATGAGGTAGTTTGGGGACGGGTAAAAACTTGTAATGACAATGCAAGCGATTTTCCTCCTCCTTTTTTTTCTTTTTCAAAATGTAACCCTGTTTTCGCAGCGCCTGGCGCCTTCCCTTCTACCCTGCGCCGCGTCTCCAGCTGCTGCCCGGCGGTGCCCATGGCGCACACCACAGCTGCCGCCGAGTGAAGACACAAACAAAACAAGTGGGTCAGTTAGCGCAGCGGTCCACAGATACAACCCAAGACTGGGCGGGCCAGGGCCAGGAGGGATTCGTGCGCTCAGAGGAGTCGCCGCGGGGATCACCGCTACCGACCCAAGGCTCGGACCCTCCGGGGTGGTGAGAAGACCCGCAAAATCCCCCCACTGCTCCCTTTGCGTTCGGTGGTCCTTATTAGACTAATAACACTGCTTTGAAGTGGCACCACAGCATCATTGTTGATTGCAGCTATCATGTTCAAAAGTTGTCACATTAAAATGATTGAAGTTTTTCAGGGGATGAGCTTGGTAGAGTAGAGACTGACCGAGTTGAAACGGACGTGCGTGCGTGCGTACGGTACGCGTATGCGACTCACGAAGAAAACAGATCTAAATTGGTCCTCCCGAGAGAAACTGGTAGACCACAGTAGAAAGTCGGGGGACAAGAGAGGTTTTGCGATGCTGGCGTGCGGTGTCAGGTTGCTTATCAGTCGGGGCGAAGCAAGAGAGTAAGAGAGAGAGAGAGAGAGGAGGGGCAGAGGGGGAAAAGAGAGGGGGGACTCTGTGCAGATAGCAGCCTAGGTAGCACTATAACAGTGGCAGGAAAAGGTCCCTTGGTATTTAAGCCCGGTACAATTCATGAATCTTTCCTTCTCATTCATTAGCCATCCCAGGTGCAGAGCGCTCTCTCCATCCGTCGTTGGACTGACTGTGATCAGTTGATAGAGGACCCATCTACCCACCGGAGGCGTTTTTTGACTTGGTAACGAAGCCTTTCCTTACCAACGGTCCAAGGTGAGAGGAGAGAGGTGAGAGGCAAAAGGGAGCAAAGAGTGAGCCCCCCCCCCGGGCCCCACTTGAGAGCTTCTGGATTAGTTCGGCTGCGCTCGGCTCCCATTACCTCTGTGCACCCCACGGTCTTCACCGGCAGCACCCCGGCTCTAATCAATGCATGACCGCGCAGCAAGAGGGCAGAGAAAAACAATTTCAAAGTTGGCTTTGTTTTAATGCTTTGTTTATCCTTCTGCTTCAAAGCTGCAAGAATTCGCAGAAGACGCCCGAGGGCCCCGGGGCGAGGGAAAGGCAAGGAAGACATCCACGGAAAGCGAAATGCGTACACAAAATCACAAAGATCGTGGTGAGATAATTGCTCCCTCGACGGTTCCATCATCTTGAGAAGTGTATCACCGTCCATCTGGTCGGGACTTTCGGCCTTGGTCATTGTATACCAGTCCCAGAAGTTTGAACAAAGAGTGGCCTACGCCCTCGACCTTCATTTCCAGCAAGGGCTGGACTGACCTCCCAGACACACAGACACACACACACACACACACACACACACACACACACACACGCACACACACACACACACACACACACACACACACACACACAC